ATCTTTAAAGTATGACAGTGGAACTTTAATAGGGATTGCATTAAAATCACATATTGCTTTGGGTAGTATGGACATTTTAACAATGTTAATTCTTCCCAGCCATGAGCACGGTATGTTTTTTATGCTCAGCATCCTTCCCAGCATCCTTTCATGATCAGAACACTTAAGAAAATTGGCATAGAAGGGACATTTTTCAAATTGATAGAGGCAATCTACAGCAAACCCACAGCCAATATCATACTGAATGGAGTTAAATTGAAATCATTTCCACTCAGATCAGGAATGAGGCAAGGTTGCCCATTGTCTCCATTGCTCATTAACATTATAATGAAAGTTTTAGCCGTCACAATTAGGGAAGAAAAGGCAATCAAGGGTATCCATATAGGATCAGAAGAGATAAACTTTCACTCTTTGCAGATGACATGATTGTATACCTGGAAAATACCAGGGATTCTACTCCAAAGCTCTTAGAAGTGATCAAGGAATACAGCAGCGTCTCAGGTTACAAAAGCAATACTCATAAATCGGTAGCCTTTATATATACCAACAACTGTCAAGCTGAAAAAATAGTCAAGAACTCTATTCCGTTTACAGTAGTGCCAAAGAAGATGAAATATCTGGGAGTTTATCTAACAAAGGACCTTAAAGACCTCTATAAAGAGAACTATGAAACTCTAAGGGAAGTTGATAATTTAAAGAAGCCCTCCACCCCCAAACAACAACAGCAAAATGAAAGTAGTTACAGGGAGAACACATCATGTTTAGTTTAGGATGTTCATAAACAACAGTTCTTGAATTACTCCTATCAGCACCCTGTCCACAAATATACCAATGGACAAAGGGAGAAAACAGCTATAGGACTCAAAAAATCAGTGTGGGAGAAAAACATTCTAGGGCTGGGAGTCAGGACATCTGGGCTCTACTCACATAGGTATGTAACCTTGAGCAAGATGCTTCACATTTTGAGGCTCTATTACTTTATATGTCAAGTGAAGGTTTTGGATTAGCTTATCTTAGAGAGCCCTTCCAGCTCTGATGTTATATGACTGCATATTTTCAGAGGACTTACAGCAAATTAGGTGACTTCAGTTTAATGCTCTTTCTCTTAGCTAAGTACATTAAACACTTGAACAGCTCCTGAGCAGTGAGATCTTTGGAGTTAGGCAGTCTGCCATCAGTGGAATCCAACTTCCAAACAACCAGCAACAGTAAACAACCTTCAGAAACTTGGAAAACATGTAGTTTACATATATACCAGGTAACCTCTGAACAAACAGGATGCACTTTCATCCAGCATAGGGCCCATAGTGTGTTATGGTCACAGCTCAAAGGGAAGTTCTTAGAGCACAGTTAGAATGAGGATATACTTGGTCACTTCTGTATAAGTTAGTTTTTGCTGTGTAACACACCACCCCAGAACATGGGGTGGCTTAAAATCATATCATGGCTTAAAATGATAACGTTTCATTGATAATTTAGCTCCTTATTCTATAGGTTGGTTGTGCAGGTCCTCAGGTTAGGACTGGCTTCAATGATTTCTGGTTGCCTTGCTCACATCTTTGTCATGGGCTGGCAGGTTGTCTGGAGGCTAGCTGGGCTAGGATGGTTTCACTCTCATGTCTGGCATTTGACAGGCTGTCAGCTGGAGCTGCATGGCTGTTCGTGAGGGTGCCTGAGTGTTCTACCATATAGCCTTTAATTATCTAGCTTGCCAGTGTGGACGGATGCTCAGTGTATATATCCAAAGAGCAGCAAAAGAGCAAGTCCCCAATGCACAAATTCTTTTCAAGCCTCTTTTATGGTACAAAATAAGTCAAATGGCCAAGTCAGATTCAAGAGATGGGGAAATAGACTCCATCTCCTGACAGAAGGATCTGAAACATCACACTGCAAGAATGTGGATTCAGGGAAAGAAAGAATCAAAATCTACCATACTTTCCATGATGAAGCTGGGAATTTACCAGGTATCATTTCTTTAAACCAGAGGGTCCAGTGGGAGGAAAGGAAAAACTGATAGAACAGAAAGGAGTATGCTCTTCTTACTCAGAAACTCAGAGTTAGACGAGCCTTAAATGGTAACTTCATCAATACTTGATTTATTATTCATATTGTTCTGGCCACGAAGTCATCTTACTTCTACACAATTAGCCTCACAACGAGTGGTCCATTTCATTGCTTTCAACTTTGTTGTTTTTTCAATCCCTTTTTACCCCCTTGTTGAACCCACTGATCTGAGACTCTCAGATCTATAATCTTGGCTTGGATCAAAAGGTGACATCTAACTCTATTTTTCTTTTCTCTCTTTTCCCTTTCCTTCTCGCATTCCCGCCCTTCTCTCTTCCTTTCCCTTTCTTCTGCCCTCTGGATCACAGAAAACATGTCTACTTTCTTTCCAATGTAATCTTCTGAAACTCTGAAATAAAATTGTCCTAAGTCTTCTTTTTGTCAGTCAAACCTTAGTTTTTTTAATCACTACTTATCACATCTTACATGAAGATGTATGGGAAGGTACTTTGTAAACTGAAGTTCTTTATGTGTCTGAGGGATTATTCTGATTACAGTTTTTCAAACTCAACATTCTCCACTTTCTCCTTGGTTAAACTCCTATTTATAGATGTTTCTCTTGAATTATGGACTTAGAATTTATTCATAGTTCTTTTTTTTTTTTTTTCTTGAGACATGTCTTAAGCTGTTGTCCTGGGTAGATTGCCCTGGCATCACAGCTCACAGCAACCTCCAAATCCTGGGCTCAAGTGATTCTCCTACCTCTGCATCCCAAGTAGCTGGGACCACAGGCACCTGCCACGATGCCCGGCTATTTTTGTTGTTGTTGTTGTTCCAGCCATCATAGTTGTTTGGTGGAGCCAGACTGGATTCACCCACCAGCTCAGGTGTATATGGCTGGTGCCTTAGCTGCTTCAGCCACAGGCACTGAGCCGACAATTAATATTTCAAGATAACATTTTTCCTTAAAATGTTCTATGGATTCAAATCAAAATTCTAGCAGCCAATTAGAGTCTAAACTTTGTTTTT